TTGCCAATAACAGCTTCGCATCTGTTTTATAGCTTGGTGAAGAAATATTAGAACCAGCGCTAACAATAATGGTTGCTGTGATTTGTTCTAGGAAAGATATATACAAGTGTAGCCATTGGCCAGAACACCCAACTACAGTAATTTTTGTCAAATTTAAAAACAAATTTTAAATTAAATTAAATATTGGTCTTTTTTTCAAGTTAAAGGTATTCAAGGGAGGTTTTGAAACCTTCAGATAAAAGCGCTTTCAGATCAGTCCAGCTTTTTTTGAAGATAATTCTGAATTTTTTTTTACTGTGTTAAAATTCTCAGAAAAGTTTCTCTAAAAGTAATTTCATTTCGGGCTATTTGTTAGTCGCACAAGCACTGAAAATTGTAAACAAAAAAAATGAAAATAATAACTACTTTGTTCAAAATTTGTTTTGAGTATTATTGCAGTTTAATTTTTTTTTGGCAGATTTGGGTTTGTAAAATAGAGTAGCACATAACAAGTTTGAAAATTTGTTCTAACTTTTTTGGGCAATATATATTTCAACCCGTTTTACGAAAATTTAACCGTAGCGTGATTTGTTTGTATTAACTTATCATATAAAATATTAGCAACCAGAAAATTTCATTATATCGTCAAATCGTTGTTTTTAAGTTAATCAGAATTTGAAAATAGCAGAATCATAACCCCACAAAAACCCATCAAAAATTGCTTGTTTCAAAAGTCTTAAAGTCTGTTCACGCACAATTTTGATCTTTTGTGGTTTGGTTTTTGGTTTTTTTTTAATATTCACCTAAGTTTTTTGGTAAAAGGATTTCAAACACCACTGTCGAACAGCAAAATTATTTTGGTAACAAAAAGAGATCAACCTCTGACTTAAAATTTGCAATTGAAATTTGATTATCAGACTACCCGGCAAAATAAAAATCTTTTCTACTGATCCAGTTTTTCAAACTCGGATATTTTTTATCAAAAATACACCCGAACGTAAATTGTCAGTATATTTCAAAAAGCGTTAAGGGCATATGTTTTTTCCTTAAAATTCGTAGGTTGAAGTTTTCGTGAAACAATTCAGTTTGTTTTGGTTTTTCTATACTCTTTTTCAAATTTTTATGGAGTTGAACAACGATCTTTATAAAGGTCGGAGACAAATAAAATGGCAGTGCATCATTATCGTGGTAACCCAAAAGTCAAGATGTCATGGTTCGAAACTTTTTTTCGCATTTCAATCAGCAATTCTAAAAAACCATTTCTAGAGGAGTTCGTTTTAGGCTGTTATCTTTTTCATTGCGAATTTTCTTTGATTTTTGACGTAGCTTCTGTCAGTTCAGTTTCTGTTTTTCTTTAATACCATTCATATTTTCTGGTACGGTTTTTTGGGTGTTTTTTCTTAAATCTAGGCTTATTTTGATTCAAACCGTTTTTAGTATAGTTACCCATAGTTACACAAACAAGCTAGTGAGTGTAGTGTATTATTATATCACTATTTTTTTCCAAACTAAGTCGCAAATAAAAGTGATCTTTTAGAAGAATTTTTGCTTCAATCACGATCTGCGGCGTTGGAAATTTCATAGCATATTTTTTTTACTGGTTGGCTAGTGTTGGTCGAATTTCAAGTGATCGTGGCACAGAAGGAAGGACATGAGACTACTTTTTAATGGGTCGGAAACTTATAGTAATTAGTTTATAGGACAAGGTAAATATTTTCATGTTTTCAAGAGAACTCGCAGCTGGTGCATAATTCTTGCGTAGACTCACCTGAAACTATTGCATAAATAGGAAAGCTGGGTATTTTAGAAGACCGGTCAATCAGCAGAAAGCTAACTTAAAACGGCGCATTAGCAATTAGAGAACGCTTGCTCCGCTGCGCTAATATTCGATACCAGAGGCATTGTGCGCATGAATTAGTGTTTGCCGCTATTTTTTTCTGTTATCAAGGTTGTTGAAAGTTATAGACAAATTGTGAGATAATTCTCTTAGTAAGAGAATCTCAACACAGACTTAGTGCTTATTTAAGGGAGTCCGGTCTGTATTTAGAAAATTGTTTATTCAGTTTAGTCAGTAGTCAGTAAGCAGACAAATAGTATAATAACTAATCAGAATCGAGATCAGAAATGAAACTTATGAAATAAATCATTATTAATTGTTAATTTTTTGCTGGTCTCAATTTTGATTGGTTAATAAAGCATTTTTCTGCTTACTGAGAAGTATGAATATGCTATTGTCTAAATACTGCTACCTAAACAGTACGTTCTGCTAAGTTCTGATTAAGTAATTTATTTCTGACGAGTATGAATACCCAGTTGACCAAATCAGCATATTCCATCAAAATAGCTTAGTTAAAAAGTCGAAAATTGGCTAAATGAACAAAAGCACCCCAAGCATAGTTATTCCGCTTTTCTTTGAAACCGGGACAATAAACGACATAATCAAAACTGATTTTTGGTGAATTCATAAACTAAAATTATGAGAGATGTGAACATTGTTAACAGACTGCAATTATTTTCAGTTTGTTCCTTTCTAAAGGCGAATCATATTACTACATGTCACAGCTATAAAATATATATATATATATACATTTGTAAAAAGCAGTATACTACTTGGATTAAACTTTTATATTCCATTTAAGGTCGTAATTTTTATCTTTTTATTCAATCATTTTTCTCGTCTACTCCAGCAAATGATTGAATACAGATTTTTTCCTGATTAATGCTGCGCACTTGTATGTTCAAAAACACCGTTGTTTAAACCGTCACAGTTGTTTGTATAGCTTTTAAGTATTAGAAATATAGATTTGAAGGACTTTAATTTTTTATATAGGTTTGAAGAATTAGATTTTGAAACACTAAACATGGTTTCCTAAAACGAAAAAAATTGTTCGGACTTTTCAGTGAGAAGAGCCAAGAAAAATAAGCAAACACTTTTCAGTCCAAAAACTTGATTTAATTAAGCAGAAAATGTTCAATCTGCCAAAACTACAACTGACAGGATTCGGACCCCGGTACCTTGTTGTTCAAAAACTGGATTTTTTGCACCAAACTGCTAAAATTACCGGCTATGTATTTATAGGTTAAAAATAGGCTGAAGTGTCCACGGAAGAGCTGGGACAACATCTTTAGCTTTTGATGTCCAGTGTCCGGCGGTTGCAATACCCTTGCTAATAGCATCGGAAATACAAAATTTCACTTTTTGAATAAGTTTGAAAATCTTTCTGAGAATTCTGGTTTTTATTTTTTGATTATCGGAGCTCTTGCTGATTTCTTTTAGCATAGTTTGTAATTACACTTGCAAGCGTGCGAAGTGTATTAGCATGACTTCACATTTTCCTGAGCCAACTCGCGAATAAAAATACTCAGTTTTTCATAGCTTCTGTTCTATGCTTTTTCTGGCTAAAGTTTTTTGATCAATAAGCGTATCGTGGTTGACAGGGAAGGACAAAAGTCTCCAAAGCTCGAGGTTGCAGAATCAAACCTGGCAGCTTGTAAAAAGTTCATTTTTCGAGGCTCACTTCTATTTTGTGATATTTCACTTTAAAGATCAGTTTTTTGTCGTTTTCTAGCTTGTGTATGCGAAGCCCAGCTTCGCCTCTGTTTGAAAGTCGAAGATGTATTAGAACTAGTACTAACAGTAATAGTTGCTGTGCTGTGTTCTAATGGAGATTAAAAAAGTGTAACCAATGGTCAAAACGATCTCACGACGGCCAGTTTTGTAAATTTTTAGAAAAAACAAACTAAATTTAGAAAGTGTTTTTATTTAGGATTTCAAAGTTGACTTTTAATCTTGAAATTAAAAATTATTTTTAAAGCGGGCGCTTTTCAAAGTTTATTCATAGAAAATTTACTGCTTTTTTTAAATTTTTCTTGCAAAAAATTCTTTCATTTTGAGCTACTTGTTACTGCCACGCACACGAAAAAAAATTAACAATAAAACTTGACTTCTTAAATCAAATCGAGTTATTACATCTCACAGCTACAAAAAACATAAAGATAGAAAAACACCACTATACTACTTAGATTTAAAACTTAAATTCCATTTATTATAATAGTTTTGATCAGCTCTGAGATTTTAAATTTTTATCTACTAATATGAATTCATCATGAGCAAAAACGTCGTTTTGTATCAAAACTGATTATCCAATTTCTGTTTCGTTAATATCGTTGTTTTTGCTTATCTAGATTCTTAATCTCCATCTATGATCTACGCATAACCCCCATTTTTTTCCACGCATAATTGTTAATACCGTTAACTTCATGTGGGGGTTATATTAAAATTTTGTAGATTTTCATTTTTTGGTCAACTCCAACGAATGATTAGTTTTAGATCAATTTTACTGATTAAAGCTGGGCACTTCGTAAAATTGTTTGTTACTACACCAGTTTTTACAATATATTTATATATTTTCGAATATAATAGATTATGTTTATTTATAACATATTTTTTGCTATAATCACTATCTGTAGCATTGGGTTTTGTATAGCATCTGTTCACTGCTTTTTTTTCTGGCTAGTGTTTTTCGATTTAAAAGCGTATCGTGGCTGAAAAAGAGGGAGTGAAACGCCAAACTTCGAGGTTCCAGTTTCGAATCCGACTCGTAGCAAAAAAAAATATTCATTCGAGGCTTATTTCTTGCTACTTTTTAAAGCTTTGCCTCTGTTTTAAAGCTTAGTGAAGAAACATTAGAACCAGCGCTGACAATAATGATTGCTTTACTGTTTTTTTATGGAGTTATAAGCAAGTGTAAATTTTGAAAACTAGTTCAAAATGAAACTGAAATTTTTTTTGTCTTAGATTTCAAAGGTGATTTTCAATCTTCTGCTTAAAACTGCTTTCAAATTTTTTCAATTAGCACAAACAGCACTTTGCAACGAGAAAGTCTATTGAATGAAGAACATTTTATAATTTGAATTAAAGGATCTTGTTTACTATCCCTTCACTATGTTACCTGTTAAAGAATTGCTATCCGTATAAAGAATTTTTTATTTGTAATTTGTACCTTGTAACGAGTCCCCTATTTTTGAGCAGGGCTACAGTTAACAAGATCTGAATGAATTAAAATGAGGATAAATGAAACGGATAGAGTTGAGTTGATAACGATAGGCAATATACATGAAAACTAATCAAATGTTAGGCGTTAGCTATGAGGTTACTGAGTAATCCAAGTGACTCGGCAGTGTATGACCGCACTTGAACATCCGAATCCTTCAGAAGAGCGGTCAGAGAGTTCAACACGTGATCAATCGAAACCACGTGACTTTGTTCCTCGGGCAAATTACCGACCAGAAACCCAACTAAGAGAGCTGCGTTGGCTCTTAACTTCGGGTTCGCACTCTTGAAGAATTGAACATTCGAGGTTATGAAGAAATTAAGTTTCTCCGGAATCTCAGCAATTAGGCTCTTTGCAACATTGTTCAGAAACTCTCCATAATGAAATTGAGCCAATGATTTTTTGTGGGCAATTTCGCAAAACTGTTGCAATTTTGGGCTTTTCAATAACGGTGAAACTTGATTCAATGTTTTCTTACATGCAAGTGTGACATCCTCGTCTTCGTCATTTGTATGCAGGAGCAAAGTTGGTAAAATTGAATGTATTTGGTCAATGAACGTTACTTTAGACTCATCTGTACAAAATTTGGTCAATGAGCCAAAAAGTTGAAACGCAGCGCTTCTAACTTTCGCGTGATTCTTTTCGTAGCAGGATTTGATACGAATGCAAATAGTGTTTAACACATTGCGAACCGAAGGCTCATCGATAACCTCCAAAACTTTCTGCAACCCATTCAAACTTACTAGGGTAATTTCGTTTTGAGGGCCTTCTTTATTATCTTCGAGACCCATTACTAACGCGTTCAAAACTGGCGTGCTGAAGCGTTTCACATTTTCAATTCCTGCGTTTGCGATGTTAGAAATCGCTTCTAGAGATATTTTTCTAACTTCGTAGCAACTGTCAATTAATTTAGAAAGTAATACATTCATAACTGAATCTATCAAACCGCCATCTTGGCCGCCGCATTTATTAAAAACTAGTTGCCCAAAAAATGATGCTGCGCAGCTTCTTTGATCCTCGTAAACACTATTCAATGTATTAAACGCCAAAGGCACAATCCTCGCTAAATAATCGCCTAGATTTTCGCATATGACATCCGCAAGTTTTTCAATACCTTCAAACACTGTATCCTTTTGTGTGAGCTTTTCTTGGAATTGTTCACATTGTTGTATGAACGGAACTTCGTTGTTTAGTGTTTCGAGCAAATATTTCAGCGCACTGCTCGCCGCCTCTCTCGGCACTATTAAGCTTGTCGTTTGCCCTGACACGTCCGACTCTTTTTCTTCTGCGTTTTTCTTCTTCCGACTGAATCTACTTGTTTTTGATGCTGGTTTTGCTGCGCCACTCGCTGGTTTCAGGTTTTCTGTCTTCAGAAGTGATCCAACGTTTGCTAAGAGCGCAATAAGTAACTCTGGAAATAGGGTCTTAACAACTTCGCGTACATTCTCAACGTCTTTTAGAACTTCAAACGTCAAAGTTATGGCTAGAACGATTCTAGAGGCCGTTCTAACTGTTCCTTTTTCTTCATATGGCTGTTTAGTTGTAAGAAGATCCAAAAATAGCCTCAGTACTTGGGTTGTAACGTTAGAGTTTACGGAGCAAAGTGAAGTCCAGAGTTCCTTGGTCGCCGCTGAGTACGGGATCGACTGCGACAACAATAGTTCTTGGACCACGGGACTCAAATGAGCGACTCCGAAAACCTTGTATGCTTTTAGTAGTCCTTGTTTCAGTTTTTCATCACTGATAACTGTTTCCATAGCACTACAGAACTCAGACACGATAGAAGATATGTTATGGTTGAACTGCTCACTTCTGTGCTTGAAGATCCCGTTTAGAGCAATGCATGCTGCGGCCGAATGACTCTGATTCGAGTTTGAGATACCTCCAAAAAGTGTCAAAGTGTATTGTAAAATTTCTTGAACGTCCACCATAAAGGAAACTACTTTTGACAAATCGTTCAGTTGACCGAACGAATTAACAGTCGACTCAATTGTTACTCGAATTTTGTCGAAAACAGATTCAACTGTAGCTTTTGTATCTTCGTCAGCGGGTTTATTTAGAGTAGATATTTTGTACAAACGCTCAATGCATTTCAAACTGGTGCTCCTAATATTTGATTCCTCGTCATTGCAGAGCGGTAAAAGACGCGCCAAAATTTGACCAAGGCCTTCACACGAAGAATTATCAGCAAATTTGAACTGTGACTCGAAGGTTTCAAAAATTTTCAGACATGCTTTTAATGATCGCAACTTTTCAGCCGAAGAGTTGCTCAGAAGATCATTTTCTAAATGTCCAAAAATTTTGAACATCTGTCCAAAGTTAGATTTGGCCAGCTTGGTGATTTCTTCTAATAAATCATAGAAATCATCAAACGCTTCTTGAATTAGTTTGGAATACTCATCGTCCGATATAGTTTCGACTTTTTTGTTTTCGTGGCTGTTGTTGTCTTGAGAAAGTGACATAATAGATTGTGAACAAGTTGTGATAACATTTTCCACATCCGAGTCAGTCAGTGTTGGAGTCAACTGCGCCAGAGCAGCGAGCGCTACAAAGCCGAGTTGCCGAGTGGATGTTGTCAAAACTGAATTCGGTTCCGAGTGGATAATTGTGAGCAGACTTTTGATAATGTCATTTCGGTTATTAAACACGTATTTCTGTTTCAGATGATCCTCATGCATACTTTTTGCTAAAAGTTTAGTGGCTCTTAGTACATTTTGACGGAGGCATAAATCTTTCGCTGATGCGAAATGGGGGTTCAGTGATTTCAAAATGGAAGCTTCCATTCGAGATGTTATCAAATTGATGGGCGCGTAGAAGCAAACGTTCCCATAGGCCAACATAACTGTTGCCTTTAATTTATCGTCGACCGCTTTGGTCACTGCTTTCGGAGCAGAGCTAGATGAGCTTGACAATCCGAATCGTTTTTTAGTTGGAGGCGGTGCTTCGGCTGGTTTTGGCTCCTCGAGTGGTTTTCCTTTGAGAATACAATCCAGTTTTTCTAAAATTTGGTCCAAATGTGTGGCAGCTCCGTATCCTAAGCCGATAGCATAACCTTCCCTTTGATGTTGATCTAAATGATCAACTGTACCTAAGGTTTCCGCCACAACTTTGTCAACTAACTTTTTACTCTGTGATTGTCGCATGACGAAGCCTAGACATTTGTAGGTGAAATATTTAGACTGACTGTCATTGTTTGAGAGGTAAAATAAGTTCAGCTGGGCTATGAGAGCGTCTGCTACTTGAATGTAAATTTCTTCGTCGTCCCACAAGCCTAGAGTTCTGTAGAACAACTTCAAAAGAAGTTCTTCCCAAGCAGCTTGATCAAATGAGTTTTCGCTCTCGTGAACTTCCAAATAAGTCACTAACTTAGGAATAACTTTTGACCACATTTTTTGAATTTCGTCCTCAAAGAAAGGGTTCAAAAGTTGGAGCAGGTTCATGTAGGTTGTACCACAAGAGTTTATCGGAGGATCTCCACTCAAGATGATCATTCGGACGAAAAGCTCAATCGGCCGAGGCAGATTTATATGCTCTTCAAAATCGATTGAGAAAAGTTCCTCATCGCCGTTTTCTACCAAACTGTTAAGGAGAAGCAAGAGATTCGAACTCAAGTTGTGCACTGAATGGTGACATTTCGCCGACATCAAAAACTGCATACTGTCAGGCCAAAGAACAAAGTTTAGGGATATGATGTTCGTAAATAATTTGTGCAACACATTTTGGCAGGTCATTACTAGCTCATTAACCAGTTGGCTAGCCATATCAGTATCCTTCACCTTGCGGACTCCTGATTTGGCGGGTTTTTCACTCGATTTTAAAGCACTATTTACTACTATAAATTCAATCAATGGGTAAGATCCTTCAGTAGATAGAAAATCCTGAAGAGCAATGGCGAGAATAGTCAGGGCTAGATTTTTGCGCACCTTCAAACTTTGATCTTCAAGGATGTTTTTTAAACCACTGACAATCACGCCTTTCTTATCACCTGTGCTCATACGCTCGGAGTCAAAATTTATCAGATGTCTCAGAATCACAAGACCGAATATTTTTTGATTCTCTTCTTTGCTATCAAATTTAGACATTATAGTCAAGAGTTGTTTCTGATCAAAGCGCTTGTTCAGTGTTGAGTAAATCTTGCAAAGTTCTTTGAAAGTCTTGTTGGTTGCCAGCTCGCTTTCGTTCAAACTCATCACAATGACAAAAAGAGTATTCCAAACTTGGTCAAAAATAGTTTCCAATCCTGCGCTTTTTTGTTCAACGCACGCCTCCAAAAAAGTTCCAAGAATGATTAAAAGCGTTATTTGCTCTTTTGATTTTTTCATCATGTTGGATATCGTTTGGGTTATTTTGGGAACATTTTCCTCAAATTTTCCTGAAGGTAGAAGAAAACAAATTTTAGTAGTCGCTTCTAAAACAGCCAACTGAACTCTTTGATCTTTGACGGCAATCCAAACATTGAAAATGACGTCAAAACACGACAGAATCTCGGCTTCAATCTCGGTTTTGAAATCCGCCAATTTCTCGGGCTCAGTCGACACTGCCTCATGTATTGCTGAACAAAACTCAGCAATTGTCGTCGCAAAGACAAACTTCATGTTGTCTAACTTGACCATACCAAACATTGGCAATAGAAGTCCTAAAATACGTTTCAGTTTTGGACAACTTTCTTGAGCATGCAATGTAGCGAGGGTTCCCAACGTTTTTAGTGTGAAATAATGCGGCAGAGAACCGGGGTCTAATTTTTTTTCCAACTCGTTCCAAACAGATTGAAAGTTGTTCATGCTCAAAGCTACCAGAACAGAACTGGCAGCCCCTTGTAACTCGGGAACCACCTCCTTGTTATTGATCATAACTCCAACACTGCATTCTATTAACTTTCTAGCCAAACCGGGAGTAATTTTTTGTTGATTGCCATCTTTTACGCTTTTTTCTAGCACTTCTAAAATTGCGATTTGATGTGTTTTGGATGGCGCTCCTTTGTTGTTGAGGAAATTGCAAGCACTCAGCAGAACTGTTTCGGCGTTCGCAAGACTCAGTTGGACCAGAGAATTCTTAGCACTTTCTTGAACTGCAGAGCTTCTGTCACCGCAACTTGTGTACAATGAGTTTATAACGGAGAGGAGCACTTTGTCGCCTGAATTGTCCCCCATCGAGTAGGACGAGTTGAGGCGTAAAAAGGAACTAAAGTGCTTTGTGAAGTTACTAAGATATCTATCCAAAACCACTGAATACCTACACAGTCTTAAGTTGAGAAGCCATCAATTAATGGCGGAAATATTAATCGCTGTGTCTAATATTCGATTGATATTTGGTTACAAGAAACGGTAAACTGGTTTATTTGCTTTTGGCATATTATTAATATTCTGAACCGAAGCAAATCATAAAAGATGATTAATAAAGTATGGCGTAACTTAGGATGAAACTGCGTTTGGAAGTCATGGTTACAGATGAATTTGTGTACTCAAATTTTCTTATAGTCAGTTTTATGCTTTAAAAAACAACTGAAAAATCCGAGGATAGCTTTGACAGGGTAAAGTTTTCTTAATATACCGAAACAAAACTCGATCGCAGAAGAGTTTTCTGGTCTATGATAAGTACTTTTCCAGCAAACAATCCTTGGCACAATAGATCAGTAATTTTAATGTCCAAGCTTCCATACTACGGAATTTAAATCGTGTCATACTGATTTCTTTTAATCTCTTTCATCTCTATAAGATGCTCGGATCTCTTGGGCACCATCTGGCGATGACCGAATGAGCCATGCAGTATCTTTATTGGGTTAATGTTGATTTGTAAATATGTTAAATTTGGAAATTGTTCAAATCGGATCAGCTAAATTAATTCTTAATATCTTTTTTTTCTGAGCAAAAATATATACTAACTTTGAGGGGGGAGCGCGCGCTGAAAAAACGCAATGTTTTGGTCAAAAATTTTTAAAAAGTGCTTAAAAACGCCTTTTTTTGGCCTTTTTTCAACAATTTTTAATGTCCAAGCTTCCATACTACGGAATTTAAATCGTGTCATACTGATTTCTTTTAATCTCTTTCATCTCTATAAGATGCTCGGATCTCTTGGGCACCATCTGGCGACGACCGAATGAGTTAAATTTGGAAAATGTTCAAATCGGATCAGCTTAAAAGAGATTCTTTTAATCTCTTTCATCTCTATAAGATGCTCGGATCTCTTGGGCACCATCTGGCGATGACCGAATGAGCCATGCAGTATCTTTATTGGGTTAATGTTGATTTGTAAATATGTTAAATTTGGAAATTGTTCAAATCGGATCAGCTAAATTAATTCTTAATATCTTTTTTTTCTGAGCAAAAATATATACTAACTTTGAGGGGGGAGCGCGCGCTGAAAAAACGCAATGTTTTGGTCAAAAATTTTTAAAAAGTGCTTAAAAACGCCTGTTTTTAGCCTTTTTTCAACAATTTTTAATGTCCAAGCTTCCATACTACGGAATTTAAATTGTGTCATACTGATTTCTTTTAATCTCTTTCATCTCTATAAGATGCTCGGATCTCTTGGGCACCATCTGGCGACGACCGAATGAGCCATGCAGTATCTTTATTGGGTTAATGTTGATTTGTAAATATGTTAAATTTGGAAAGTGTTCAAATCGGATCAGCTAAATTAATTCTTAATATCTTTTTTTTTCTGAGCAAAAATATATACTAATTTTAAGGGGGGAGCGCGCGCTGAAAAAACGCAATGTTTTGGTCAAAATTTTTTAAAAAGTGCTTAAAAACGCCTTTTTTTGGTCTTTTTTCAACAATTTGCCTGCGGCGCAAAAAATTTTGGTCAAGTTACGGTCTTTATAGCCTTATAGTGGTTTGGGAGAGCTAACAAAATCAATTTGGTCGACCTGAAAAAAAGGTCGACAAAGTTTTTCGAAAATCCTAGATCTGCCCCTGCAAGTAGCACAGAATGTTCCGATCATATTCCTAAAAATAGTACATAAATTTTTTCATGCTTTTTTCTTGTTAAGGATGTTTTTTTGTGCGTGGTAGGATCAAAAGGCTTTGAAGAAAACCTGAAGTTTAGGCATATTTGACAGTCACAGTTGAAAAGACAAATCAGTCAACAGTTTTGTCGAAAAATGATTGAAACAAACTAAAAGCAAAATTCAAAAAAAGGAAAAAACTAACGTTTCATAGCAAATTCCTCTATTAAAAACTTTTTCGCAGCCAAAATTGAACCAAAACTCAAAAACTCCAAACTTGTTTTTCTCGATACTGTTTTTTTCAAATTTTTTCAACTTCAGTCGAACCGAGACTGAAAAGACTAACAGAATAAATCACTCCACTCGTTACAATGATTTTTTTAGTAAAAAAAAATATTTGAAAAACAAAATAAGCCTGAATGAACAAAAATTGAAATTTTCAAACAGAATTTTGTCAATTTTGAAATTCTTTAAAACAATTAATTTAATATCAGGACTGAAAGAGTTCTAATATGATATGATGTGGTCCACAGGGATCAATTTTTGCAGTGTTCTTGTTTTCTTTATATATAAACGATATGCCAGAAGTTATTGGCAACCCCTCCTTTTTTATATGATGACGATACAAATATTATTGGAAATTGGTTTGACCTTTCTTCGATTCAAACAAACTTGAACAATCTTATGACCTGGACTGCAGAAAACGGAATTGACTTCAATTTTGACAAATTTGAACAAATTAGTTTTCAAAAATTAAGCAAACGATACCCTTTAAGCGATCTTTTATCTATTGTTGGAGAACAAATAGCTTTAAAAACACGGTGAAAGACCTTGGTGTTTGATGCAATTTTAAAAGGTCAAAGATATACCACATAATCGAAAGGCATAAAAAACATTCAATTGAATTAAATCAGAAAATCTTCACCAAACTCACTGAAAAGCTCTGTTCGGGCTTCGCTTTTTAAAAGTTGCATACTATCAATAGTTTTTTATGCATCTCCATTTTGGTTGGCGACTAAAAACCAATGTAACCGAATAGAAAAATTTTAATGACGGTGTTAAAAATGATATTACAAAAAACATGATATGAATGATGAGGATCATGTTTTTTTTACTGATGAGTTTTATGTTATATGAATAAAAGCAATTTGTTGCCAGTTTCACTGCCTTTATTTGAAAACTTTTTAATTTTGCTGAATATTATTCCTAATAATGAGTTGCCGATAATTTTTGTTGATTTCTCGACAACCGACAAGGGCCCTGATTCAAATCGAACGGGACACAAGACGTTTTTGAGACTGTCAATGATAACACGGAGCAGAACCTTGTGAAAATTTCTTTTACCGTGTCGCAGAAATGTCAAACACTCTCGCGAGATTGAACAATTTGCTAGGCTATGACCTTTTTCAAGAACCTGTAATCTTTAGAAAAATATTGAACCTTTTATTGGTTGACAAACTACAAACCTTCAAATACTCGATTTATCCAGAGTCATGGTTCTTAAGTTTATTTTACTAAGTTTGTTATCAATAACTCAAAGCAACTAGTCACCGCCTTGCGGGCTTAATTCAATCTTATTATGATTATGATTATTATGATTATTATTATGATTATCAAGATTATTATTATTTTTATTATTATGATTATTATGATTATAATATCACTCGATCCGTTCCAATGATTATTTGTGGGTCCTGATTTATGGTGGAAACGCAAAAAAAGGAAAAAAACTAAAGCCTCAACTTAAAGTTTGATATTATATCATTTGACCCATTCCACTGATTATTTGTGGATATTGATTTATCGTGGAAAATAAAAAAAGGGAAAACTACAGTTTATCCGAATACAAACAAAGTTTCCCAATTTTCAATAGTCGGAACAAAAACTTTTAATTTTTTAATGCTTTTGTTTGAGAAATTTTTGGCAAATAGTTATTTTATTGGCAATTATGTAAAATGAAATCTTTATTGCTCCCTTAATGATTTATAAGCTTCTATCTATTTGAGAAAAATAGCTGGTTGCTTCAGAGAACTTCCCAACAGTTTCCTGAATAGCTCGAGTGAAATAAAATTAAGCTCAAATTTATACGAAAAGAGCCTAAATATATTAAAGTCTTCAAAAATTGTAAAAAAAATATGGGAATAATATTTTTCAATACCTGATGATAATCAGTCTAGAATACGAAAATATTCAAACTGGTTCTTTTTTAAAACTGGGATATTTTTCTGAAAATTGTTTTCGGAGTTCAAGTTACGCGTGAACTGGTTCTAATATGAAGCGCTTCTACTCAACACGAGTGTCATGCGTTCGAATCCCGCTTTGGCCACAGTTGGAGGGGTCTCAGTGTCATCCGCCTCCTCAAAGTGGGACCGGCTGCGGCAAAATGGATGACAGCTCCCCCTCCCCACGGTTGGTCCTGCACTTAGCAGGGCAGGGGCTAATAAAAAAAACTCTTTAGGAGTGATTGAGATAACAAAACAGTTTTTCAGAACTCATGTGCCTTGGAAATTTAGAAATTTTTATACGCAGCAACAGTTAAGTTTAAATTTGTTTTTTCTTACTAAGAATTGGGTTTATAAAGTTAATAATAAGACTCTGCACGTGTATCAGGGCAAAGACCTGAATGTTCCAATACCCTTTAACTTGTCTATAATAGTTTTTGGTTAATGAAATATTGACTGCATAGGGAATTATGACGACTAATTAGCTTGCCTATACTTGATTTGGCACTATTTTGTAAAGCTGAATATTTAGCTTTAACCGAGCAGTTTAGCTAGAATTGATTCAGAACGACCGCAGAGTCAGGGTAGTATAGTGGATTAATTCCACATGCAGCAAATTCTTTTTAAAATTGTCCTGAGTAAAAACAACCACCCCAGACATTTTTTTTCCTCACTTTCTCCAAAAGTCGGGTTATTAAAATGTAATTTAGGGTTTAAATTTGTGAAAAAATGGATAAAAATAAGAGAATGAGCATTATTTGAACCTTAATTTTTCAGAGGCAAGTTTTAAAACAGACAAAAATAAGTCACCGTTTAGCAACAACCAGCATTAATTGAAGTTTATTTAAAAAAGTAGACATTATAAAGCAATTAAATAAAAAAAATTAATAAACATTAAAAATGGTTTATTTCAACTGTCTTCCATAACTGTAAACAATAATAGCAGTTCAAGTCAGACGACTGTGATTTTATTCACTTCGTGAAGAGTGATTCTTTTAGAGTTGAAAGCAAGAAAAAGCAAGGAACAAACGATGTTTAAAATATTTCCCAAATGAACAATTTAGCTCCAGAAAACCGAGGAATTTCTATGATTTTCTAACTCAGCTATTGTCGTTTGGTGCTGAAATA